ACTGAAATAGAGATGATTGTGCTTTTCAGGGATAGCTGGAGGCACAGAGCATTGAGGCAGGCACTGAGAAGCAGTTCAGCACCAACACCCACCACCACAGCACAACCCAGTTGTCTGTACACACCGGGATTTGCTGAAACAGCAACAATCTGGGACATCCCCTCCAGAAAATCAAGACTGGTGAGGCTGGTGGAGAGGCAACAGCATCATGAAGCACAGATAATCTACCCTGAAAGAGTGCCAAAGCGATGCTCTTCATTTCAAGGTGGAGAGTATGAGAAGTCTCATGTTTTGTCCTAAATCTAGGACCAGATCCAGCTGTGTGTTTTGCAGGATCTCCTTTTGCACATCGTTCAGGCTCAGACTCATTTGTGCAGACCTTTCTTCCCAGGTGTAGCTTCCACTGAGAAAAACACCACAAACCAATGGTCAGTGTGGAACTTTGCAGCTGAGGCTCCTCAGTGAGAGCACCCAGTGATAAAATCAGCACATCCTTGTTCCTGCTGCATCTGCCAAGCTCAGCATGAGTTCATTCAATTCCTGAAGGTTTCCTAAGAAATCCAGATTCCCATGGTTTATATCTGTGCTGAAAGTGGGAATGCAGCTACTGTGACAACATATTTGAGCTTTTTATCCACAGGAAGAACTTCTTCTACGGTTTTACTAAACTGATTCAAATGGGAAGTAACATCTCTAAGATACAACTCACATTGATTCAATTAAAAACAAAAAGATCAATCTTTTTAAAAAGGTTTAGAGAAAAAAATGTGCAGGTGGGGGAGAAAGATTTTTTTTTTTTTTTCTGGGTAGAGACTACTAAATACCTGAAAACTAAAGCAAAAAATGCCTCTTTAATCCAGAAAGGTAAATAATTTTTTATTAGTTTTATCAGATAACATGGATGTGGCAGAGCTTTTCTCCTAACCTTTTAATTATATGAAACCTGTGATGTGTGACCTGGGGAAAACCTCGTTGGAGCTACTGAAATGGTCTGAAATTCTACTGATTGCAGGAAAATTTTGGGTCCCCAGTACTATAGCCAAAATAAATATTGTGTAATTAAAAAATAAAATAGAAAGTTGCTGTTAATAATACGAGGGTTTGGAAACAAGGATGTGCCAGGTATAAGTTTGTCAGTCTCTGTCCATTTGGATTTTGGTGTCAATGGTGAATGATGTGGTGTCACTTCCCTGTGAACATTTTCATGATGGGCAGCTGGACATTTAGCCCTGCTGAGGTAATGGTGCTTGGGTGAGGCCAGAATTGCACAGATCAGAGGATGAAACAGGCTAAACCAAGCCAAAATTCCAGTTAATTCTGTTTCCAAACCTGCAAATTGCTGCTGTGTGCCTTTCTTCAGGGACATTCATCACAGTCAGATTTGTATGGCAAGGCAATAGGTGACCTCGCAGTGATAGAAGAGCTCTAAATACAAAATAACACTAGATCAACAAAGTAGGGGATTTTATTTTTTTTTGTTTGCTTGTTTTCATCATTTTTAAAGATGCCAATGTAGGTATGATAGGTCTGATTTAGAGGATCTTTTTGCCCTTTCTTTATATATATACAAAATATACACACAAATACCAATGCCCTCACATTATTTTATCTTCATTGAATACTTTTTTTTTTTAAATCCCTCAAACAACAGCACCTTAAGCAGAGCCTCTGCATTGCACATTTCACCCCCAAGTGCTCAGATAAGGGAAAAGTAAAAGCAACTAAAACTGTATTTTGTGATAACCATTAGATACCAAATTAAACTATCAGAACTTGTTTTCTATAAGAGCAGGAATAGAAACTTGTCTGAAATATTACAGCAGCTGCTGTAAGGAGATGAATGGTACCTTGTATTTGTACAGTCCAGTATTAATTACCAGATATAGAAATAAGGGGTTTAAATCATGATGATTAACAAATTTCTCTCAGGTTAATTTTTGTCTGAATTCACCAAGCTTAAAACACAATTGTCTATTTTTTTTGTCTTTTTTTTTTTTCCCAATCCAATGCATTGTAACAGCAGCAACCATAATTGTTGAGGAACAACTGCACTCCCAAAACCAAAATGAGGAATGTAGGTGCCTGAGCTATTTGGTATGGTATTAAATAAGAGCTATTTTCCAATCTTTGGAGTTATGGAATAAAAGAACCCAAACCAAATCAAATAATAAAATGTTGTGTCCCTTTTTCCAGCTGCTTTGACATCAATACTAGAAGTCAATTTCCACCTGGCAACGGCAGAGATCCTTCAGCACAGGCTGAGAGCCTGATTTAGCAGAAAGCTCCGTGGTTGTGAGCCTGAAATGCCACAAAAAAAAAGGGGGGGGCTCCAGGAAAATCTGTGTGCTTTGACAAGGTCTCTGTGCTTAAGCAGGCTGGTTTGAAATGCTGTAAATATAAATACCCAGTTAATATTATTGCCTGAGAAATAGGCTCCTTTGGCAAGCATGAGGCTCAAGAAACTCAGGAAATATTAACTGAGAATTATGTAGCTGATAACTTTTAATTTTAGCTTGGATTTGCCTCAAATCCAACACAGCTACAAAATTCTCCCTTTTTAAGCACCACCCAACAGGTGCTATTGCTTTGCAATACCCAGGTGATTAATAAAAAACAAAGCCCAGTAACTTTCATGCAAATAGAAGAGAATACAAAATTTAGGACAGGGACATTATGTGTTTACACCAAAAAACCAGTGCAGATATCATTATTTGTTGTGTCCAAAATCTTTCAAGGAACAATCCTGAGGCACATGGCTCTAAAATATTGTATTGATTGAAAAACAGAAAAAAAACCCCCAAACCAAACTTTAAAAATATTTTCAATTTCAGCTAAAAATCTTTCACAAAACATAGCTTGAAAGTCTAAAAGCATAATTAAAGATATTTGCTTTTTTAAATTACAGATTGCCCTACTCTAGTATTAACTACAGCAATTATCACCATTTAGAAAAATTATGCTATAAATAAAGTGGTGTTGCTATCATAAAGATTTATGAAATCTTGATATGACTCCTGTGATATACTTTGAATCTCTTTTCCAAGGAAACTTTTTTTGCAATGTTCTTTTTGATACTATTTTAATACTATAAAAAATAGGGTTTATTTATTTTAATACTATAAAAAATAGGTTTAGTATGAGATAATGAAGTTCACGATACCCAGAATAATTTGTAGCACTCATTATGGTTTGGACTTGTTCTTAATTGTGAGCCCACTGCAGAAATCCTCAAGACAGAGCTTGATCAGCAGCCAGCAATAAAGTTGAGTCTTCTCCAAATGAGACACAGCATGCAGGAGGACTTGTCCAAATGCCAAATAATATTTTATTATAAGAAAATATATTTGTGAAACAAATTTTCTGGGATGAGTCCAAACTGAAGGCTTTCTTCCACAGGCTCAGGGGAAGAAGAGGAGATGGTTCCAGAAGCCCAGGACACACCGTGAAGTTAGACTTGCTCTGCCCTCCCTTTTGAAGAGACAGCCAAAACTTGAACATTTAAATGTTTTTTTCTGAAGGACTCTGTTCTGTGTTCTGCAGCCAGAAGCCTTTCATGCTCTCAGTGATGTTTGGCTCCCTTCTGTAACCTTTCAGTGGTGAGTCCTGAGTGATCCTTAAAGCTGTACCAGGTCACCTCTCCGTCTGCTCCCTGCTCAGGCTGACCTTGGGCTGCTCCAGCTGCTGCTCATCGCTGCTCCCTTTGTGGGGGACATGCCACAGATGCCCAGGTGACAAGCAGGGAGTCAGCCATCCCACAGAGAAACTCTGCATTTTATCAGCAATTGTGAAACTGTTTTAGAGCAGGACTCACCCTGGTGCAGGGGCAGTGGCACTGCACACTCAGAACGGCACTAATTAGCGGTGCTCCTCCTTTACACACAGGCTTTACACTTTGCCTTACCCTCTGTGCTTCTTCTCACTACCCATTTCCAGTAATTACTTGTGCTCATTAGTTTTCCTTCTGGTATTTCACCCATTTAAAGTGACTCATGGGCTGGGTTATGCAAGGAGCTTAATCTCTGCTTTCCTTCTTGTGCCTGAGAGGGAAGCTTTATTCCCAACCCTCACATTAAGGCAGCCCCAGCTGGTGAATGTCTCCTGCTAAAAAAACACCCCAATGAAAGCATTCTTAGAAAGGTAATAGTTATGGAAAAAAAACCTGTTCTACTATAAAAAAATTTGGGATAGTTTACCAACATTTATGAATTTATTCTTTTTCTGAGCAGACCTAGTTATTAAATCTTTCCCAGAAACACAGTGACCTTGCAGCAAAACTTGACAAAAAAATCCTTTTCTTTGGAAAGAGACTCCTCCATTTTGCCATCTGTCTTCATCAGACTTCTCCTGGCCAGAAGCACTTAAAATAATTTATCTAATAAAGCCTCTTGGGGAAGCCCTGTCTTGGTGCATATTTGCCTTTGAAGCCAGTTTGTTGGTGGTTTATAGAGAGCCAAATTAGCAGATGACACCCGAAGGGAAACTCTGCTCATTCCCTCAAAGGTCAGCTCAGTAAAGAGAGCAACATCTTCGTTTGGGCACATGACCTGGGGACTCAGGGACACAGCAGTGACAACTTCCCTGCTGCCATATGCTCCAGCCATCTGGGGTGAGCCAGGCTGATGGATGTGGCACAGCTTTTCCTCACTGAGCATTTCTAGCTTGGCCCATGCACCTTTTTGGAAAGGAACTTTCATTCCTGGGAAAGAATATTTTGCAATAGCATAAGCCCTGTGACTTGTATCACAAAGAGGGATGTGAAAGGGTTTGTGGTTGTTCTCTGGGCGTTCAGCTGCTCGGGGCACTGCTGTTAAATGCCCTGAGCAGACGGTGGAATGTGTCTCCTAAAAGTTCACTCATTATTTATAGGCTATGATTCTAAAAGGGAACCTGAGGATAATGCTAGACACGAGACAATGTCAACTGATTTGGTTTATATATTCACTCAGCTGTGGTTTATAGTTTAAGAAAAACCTGTTATTTTTAAAAGGTTGTGCCATCCACAGTTTTTCAGAGTCACAAAATGCTTCCTACAAATGAGAGCTGGACTTATGAGAGATTTCAGATTCAATGAAGCAAGTGAGAGTTTCTTTTAAAACTTGGTCATATTTAGTTTTAGATTTTTATTTTTTTTTTTATTTTATTTAAAATAAACATTTGCATTCTTGACAAGTGATCGTGGTTTATCATCCCAATTTTGATTCCACAGATATTGGATTCTGTGAATCTCTCATGAGCATTTTTGACTCTTCTAGGATTGACAAGGAAACAAAGAGCTGCCCAAAGGGTGAAGATAAGACAAAACAGACTGCAAAGGATAGAAATCTGATGACCTAACTGAAGATACTGCTTGAAATGTGGCATTGGTAAGATCCACCTTCTCTATCCCTGTCATTTATGCAATTATTCATTAGAGACATTTTTGAACATTTTCTGATGGGATAGTTTTAATATTTTGAATTTCTAAATGACATATTTCAATGGCTCTTTTTTTCCTCATGTTTTTTTCAGATATTTTCTATCTACATTTAGAATGTTTTGGTAATCTAGCTGGAGAAGGCTGGAAGAACATGAATGAACAGTAAAGCCAGGATTTAGGTCTTGGCTTCATTTGCTTATCATTAATTAATCATGCAGATATCAAGGACAAAATGGAATGTGGTTATCTGGATAAATCATGACCACCAACTAAAATGATGTGAACATTATCAACTGATCTAGTTTTTATTTGAAAATATTTCATAATGCCTGCAGATGTGTTATTGTCAGAGTGTCTGCAGCTGTCCTTGTAGGTTTATAGTAAGTCACCCAAACCAGAAAAGGAATCAAAAGGGCCCATGATCAAGGCCCATCACAACTATCTCACAGATGATTTACTTTTTCAGACTATTGCCTGAGATCATGCTTTTGAGGTTCTGATGAGTGAGGAATAACCATTTGCTGTCTTTTACAATAAAAGGAACATCAAGAGATACGGGGGAATGTCAGGTTCAGAACAAACAAACAAACAAACCAACCAACCAGTCTCATTTTCATACTGTGGATAATTAATCTCCTTGGGCATATGGGACACACAGCTCTCCAGCAGCTCAGCTGGCCTCAGCATCTCCAGGCAGTGACCCATTCTTCCCAGGACAGGGCAATGTGATGAACCCTTCCCAGTTCCTCAAATATATAAACATCTCCCCCCAGCCTGCTCCCCAAGCCTTCAGTGAAGAACTGAAAGAAGCAAATAAACTGGATGACTCCAGGAAAAAAGGAAGTATGAGCTCTCAATATACAGATAATAAAACATAAACTACTTTCCATTTTCAGATCATCAGAAGTTACTGCTAATTAATGGTGGGCTGCTCTGAAGGACTGCCAGCAGTTGGTTTAATATATGTGAACATCTCTGCTTTTTCCACGTTGGCATCTCTTAGGAAGAACACCAGTACAACAAGCTGCAATGACTCTTTCCTGAAATAATATAGTTTGGCTTACTACAGAGCAATAAAATACCTAAATTAATATTTTCATGCCAAATGCACAATTAACCCCATGGGAAACAAAAAGAAAAGCATTATACATTTTTTTAATAGTTCTTTTTTTATTAAAACAATTAAATATATATTGCAGGTTTTTCAAAAAAGGGAGAAAATTTTTCTGATGTAAATCATCCCTTGTAACCGTGCAATATTTGATTTTGATCTAAAGGTGTCAGAGATGGTATTGTGTAACATAATCCTAGGAGACAATGTCCATGTGTGTGTTGAGCTCTTCTGTTTTTGAAAATAAAGTTGTTCCTGGGTTTTGTGACATGCTGCACCATTCAGAAGCTCCGTGGAGTTTTCCCACACCAGTTTGCATATTGCAATTCCTCAGGCTAAAATGCCATATCAGCTATTCAAGGTGTGCTGGGAAGGAGTTGTACTTTGTTGCTGCTGCCATCAGAAACATGTCATGGAACTTTCCACTGCCTCTACAGACACAAAACTCCACAGACTTCACTGGAATTGACAGTATTCCAGGCAGCCACATATGCACACAGGTATGATATTTATTAATTGTGAAGTCGGCTGTGCCAGCCACAGATTTAAAAAGCCTTCCAGTGAAAGGCAGGTTCAGCTTTTTGACAGAAATCGTGTTCAGTCTTCATAAGAAAAGCCTTTAATGGGATGCCCATCAATTTGCTCATCTTTAGATTTCACTTCAAATACAAAAATATCAATCAAATATGAGAGATCTCCAGGGCTGCTTTGCATTTTGGAGCCTGAGGGAAGCCTCTCCTGATGTGGCTTTCTCACCTCACCAGCGCAGTGCCTGATTTGTCATAAAAACTTTCATGGACTAAAATAGCCAATTTGAATAGATTGAGTAGCACCAGGGAAGGGAAAAGCCTGAGAAATAAATCAAGTGTGAACATAATGGCATCTCGGTGGGTTTTGTAAAGACTCATTTTAACCTGGTGGTTTCACGGACTGGTAGGAAATAGGTGGAGAAAGGGGAAAGATATAAAAGAAAATAAGGGGGATAAAGTACTTGACTGACTGAATGGTGACATGGAATAATTGCAAGAAGCATTGGAGAGATCATAGGGAGCACAGGATTACTGAAGCCAGGAAGCCAATGGGCAGATCTTCCCTCAAGGAAGCTTTAAAGCTCTCTGGTGAAACAAGCTCTCATGCAGTCATGCTTTTCAGGAACCTTCCTCACAACTTCACTCACAATGCTTGCTTTGCATTTAACCTATTTCCTTTGCTGCATAAGCTGTGCTCTCCTACAAATTGCACAAGTTTAACCTTGATAATTTTCCTTTTTTCCCCTGATTTGAAATGCAGCAACACGTTTCCCAAGTTGCTGAAATATATAATTGGCTGCAAGGTAAGGAAAATAAGGAAAAGATACAAGGAAAACAATTAAAACACCAAAGTTCTTTTTGACCTGGAAAGTATTGCCACAGCATGATGAAATCTACTGGACCCCGAGCCCTAACTTCTTCACTGACCTCATGATAAAGCCAGCATTTTCCTACCACATTTGTTCTGAATAAATGTCTTTTCCTGTCACTCAAAACTACAGATTACTGGTGCCACTCATCTGTGTTTAATTCCTGAAATCCACCACCAGGAACATCAGTATTCACAACAGTTGCTTCTCCTCCACTCTTGGCTTACAAGGCTTACAAGAAGGAAGTACCTGAACCCTCAAATCCAGATAAGTTGCTTTTAATAAGGAGCTAGAGAGTGGCAAATTCACTTCAAATGTCCTCGTCTTCTGTTTGAATGGTTGTTACATAACAGAAAAGGGACAATACTTTTCCATTTTACTTCTTCAAACAAAAGTAGGTATATCTTGATCTTTAACAAAAATCATTCACTTTTAATTTAGAGGCCTATTTATTTCAGGCTTCTTCCTTTCACCTCTTCTTCTCTCCCCTCCCCTCTTCCTGTATTTAATTTTTACTTGACTTTGCTTTCGCCACATAGACATTTTTTGACATGTGAGCAAAGGCATACGCTTAATTACTTAAAATCAAAGCCTTTAACAAGTGAGGAGAACAATGCCTTTGGCATCAAAATAAATGAAAAATGAGATGGAAAGGCATCCATACTGATCTAGTCAGCAAAGGATTTCTTTAGTTGAATTTTATAGCCCTGATGAAGAATGAGACAAGACCACTTACATGATTTAAGCAAGCACTTAAGCAGACAGTAGAATTCCAAGTCATACTTACCTCTTTTTAGTAGTTACCTCTTTTAGTAGGATGGTATTTAGTGTTAAACAAATAACTGGATGACTCACCATGGAGAAGCCAGCAGCAGGTGGAAGGATTATTGATTTCATGGAGAAGCAAGTGAGCTGAAGGAGGAGCAGCAGAGGACTTTAGAGCATTACTGTGGTCAGCTCATGAGGCTGAAACCTGCAAATCATCATTCAAATGGTCATTTAAAGCTTATCATTTAAATGTGATACCAGTACACTTTTCCTTTTGCAGCTGCCTTCCTTGCTTCTGTGTTACATTTGCAAAGATAAAACTTCACACATCATTTTTATGGTTTTGACGAGGGCTGTGTGGTTTTCTACATTGGGGAATAACTTATAAATATTTTTTTGTAAATTATAGGTAAGACATCAGTGCTGGGGTTGCATGTTAAAAAAGCCTAGGTTCCATCTGTGATCATTGAAGCAGGGCAAGAATTGTTAATATGAACAAGTGTATATAATTTAATAAAAAAGACACAAAAGAGGAGAAGCAAAATATGTCATGCATTTCACAGAAGGCCAAAATCACAGATAAGGTTTTACCATGTTGTTAAAGTTACAGGTTCTCAAGCTTTATAAACACAACCCTGATTTACCTGAACTCTATTCTCCCTGAGGAAAAATTATCATTGTTGAGGAAAAAAAAAATATCATTATTAAAACCAAATCTAAAGAAAAAATCGAGGGAGCTTGAGTGACTCATGCAAGGCCACAGGGGAAGTCTAAGTCAGGATACACCAATATCTTGATGGTGTCAAAACCCTAAGAAGGTACTGCTAGTTTAAACTTCTCTCTTCCAGGCACTGCCAAGGATTTATGATCCATTGGAAAAAGCATCCAGCTCCCAGGCTTTCCTTTCGTGCCAGTTTAAAGTCTGAGCTGCTATAATATGATAGCTCTTATTATAAAAACACTGCTGTGCAGGAGGAATCCCAGATATGACATTTGATCAAAGCTGAGTGTCACAATGAGGTTCTCTTCGTTTCTGCACAGCAGAGAGGCATTTGAAACAAGATTTTTTGATGGCCACCCAGAGGTTTAACCAAATGATTTCTTTTGAGCCTTCTGTCATGATTTTCACCCTCAGTATCTCAAATCACTTGAGCCAGAGGAAATATGCAAACTAGATGAGTAGAATGTCAGAGGATAAATGGAAAGAAAAGGTTACTGGGGAAACTAGCTCACCCCCTAAACTAGCACCAGCAAAAGAATTTGGGGTTGTAGAGCCACAATCCCTGGAGGTGTCCAAGAAACAGCTGGATGTGGCACTTAGTGCTCTAGTCTGGTTGACAAGGTGGTGATCAGTCAAATGTTGGACTCAGTGACCTTAGAGGTCTTTCCCAACCAAAATGATTCTGTGATTCTGAGATTAAAATGTTTATTACTGGATAAAGATACTTCCTGCTCTTTCACAATAGCCTAAAGCTGACAGATTTTTTTTTTACCATAACTGTTCACCACAATTTTTAAGATTCCTCTCTCAAAACCTGTGCTAGTAACACACACTTCTTGTTATGTGAACAGTGACCATGCTTCAAGAAACTTTTCCAGCACTCACCAGTCCTCCTCTCCTCTGTTGATGCAGCAGAGAGAAAATTACAACAAATGCCTTTGAACTGGACTGCGTCACAGCTGAAAGTCAGAGCCAGCATTTAGGGGACACACAAAATCAGGTCCTCATTATGGAACACAAGATACATTTTTACACAGCAACATTTATGTCTTATATATATATATATATATATTAAATAATATCAGCTGATTCATTTTTACCCCAAAACCTGGACCTAACGATTCACCTACTACTTTCACCAGCTTGAAAGAGCAGCCCAAGAACCATTCTGCATCCCATGACCTGAAAGGGACAGAGATTTGTTCAAAAAAACAGCATTATAGTTTCAGGCAGGAAAAGGAAGAGCCAAAATCTAACAGTAATAAGTGAAAAGGACATGTGCCAACTCTCTTGAGGCAGCACAGGGCGAGACAGTTTTTTCAGGTCTGCTTCTTCAGAAGCTGCAGTAAGAGTCAAATGCTGCAAAAAACGGTTCTATAAAAGGAAGGCTTCCCACATTTAAGTGCAAATTAAAGTTTTGTCTGCAGTAGCACTTTTTAGAAAGGTGTAAGGAATGCCCAGCAAAGTAGGCAACGGACTGAACATCACCAAGGGCTTTGAAAACCTTTCACAAGTCCCATATGGTGAGAAAAGCTCTCCTGACAACACAAGTAAGAGGCAGACGCTGAAAGAAACAAGTACAGATAGGATGTTTGATCCTGCATTCCTCAAAGGGGGAAAACTCCCTTTGAAGTCCATAGGAATACGAGTAAGGATTGCAGCGCCTATCACTTTTCTGTCATCCTCTATCATGCATCTAATTTAAAAGCACAAGTTCCATTTGAGAAGCTAATTCTCATCTTTCTTCCCCTCCTTATTCCATTTTCTCCTTTAGCAGCTATTTTCAGCCTAATTCAGCCACCTATGAGATGTAACCGGATCATTCGGCAACTGCCACTCAATTATCAAAGGGAAATTTATGCAGGGAAAAATGTTACAATTTGAAGGCAGCGTTTATCCTTTCACAAGCTAAAAGACCAGGGCTGACACTCATCTGAAGAGCTGCTCCTGAAGCAGCCCACACCCCAAAAGATGTGGCAGCAAAATGAGTGCAGATATCAGGTGGCTCCTGGAGCTCTTGGGGCATGGGTCTGCCTGAGGGGATACAGATATAGCACGGGGCCTGGGCAAGGACACCACATTTCTGTGCAAA